TAATAAACACAAGAAAAGTACAAGGGATCGCATCAAAACCAAACATTAAAAGATAAACATTCTATTATGTACAAATTTCCATGGAGCAAAATATCACACCATTCATTTTCAGCCTTTTTAATGTATTTCATTAATCACTTTGTAATTTTGGGTCTGACTGGTATGTCAGATGAATAATAGAATAGCGGAATAATTGGAAAATTACTAGCGGAATGAACTGAACTGACTAATATTTTAGCTGAATAATTGTGAAACGCTGAAAAGCTACTTTTAATAGATTAATCACGTTTTGTTTTTTTTGTTATATTTTTAACACGCTAGCGGAATCACGTTTCAAAAACATAAAAAATTGTGAAAACGTGAAAACATGATGAATAACATGAATGGTAAAAAATAACAGAATCAGGTTTCCAAAACGTGAAAACGTGAAAAAGCTGCATACCATTCAAACCCTTTATATTTTGGTATTAATCATTACAATGATATTTTATGTTTTTCCGATTTTATTGTGTAGTTTGGTCGTTGTTTTGGGTATTTTGTCGAGTCAAAGTGTGATTTTGTATTTCTTTTTCTTGTCAATCTATTCTTGTCCAAGTTAAAGGTCTCTTTGATGGAGTTTTGTTATTTTCGAAAGACAAAAGAGAATGAAGGTGATTTATGTTATGTCCATCTAAAGAGACAATTACACATTGAAATTGCGTGTAGCATATCTTAAGTAGTAAGTGTCACGGATCCTTAGGGCATGTGGGATGTGAATGTCAGAACACTAATTGATCATTTCCTTAGCATGTGGGAAAAGTGTATTAACATTTCCCTTAAAAGTATATAGTGAGGAAGAAAAGTGTTCTCACTATATTTGTGTCGGGAAATTTTTCTGAGTGATTAACATATTCTTTTAAATTTGTTGATCGAGAGCAATCACGTATAATAACATTGTGACTAGCAATCGTCATGTGAAATTCACAGTAAAAAAATATTGCTCCATAAAGTTTGACGTGTGAAAGGTATTAACCACAATCGTCATGTTGTTTTGTATTTTTAATAAAAATTTAGTTTTAATTCTATTATCTTACAGTAGAGACTTTAATTTTTTTTAATATATATAAAAATAACAAAATAGCACTGTTTGAAAAATAGAGAGTAATATATTTAAATTAGAATTTTAATTTCAAGTAAACTAAAAGAAAATAGGTTTAAAACACACCTTCGCTGATTGCATCGTCTGTTGCCTGTAACCCTGTCGGAAAAAAAAAACATTTGAAGGGCTAACACCCGACCGCATAAACGGTCCAATACCATAAAAAGAAGATTTTTTTTTTTTTTTTTTTGTCTCTCTCGTAACCAATCTTGCAAGTTGGCATGTGATCTAAAGACTCAAGAAACCGAACAGCTTCCACTAGCAACACATTAAACCTGTTTCGCTACGGCTCCTCTATATAAACACAATTACACAAACATTGAAAGGCATTCAGATTATAGAAAATCTCCAAACTTTTAAAGGTTACAAGCTGAGAAAGAAACAGATTTAATATTTACTTTCACTATGAATGGAGACCTAGTTAAGGGAGATTATGGTGTTAAGAGAGTGAGCGCCGGAGATCATTCTCGAGACTTTAGAATGATTCCAAGACGCGGGCAAATTAAATCACGGATCGCTGCAACCGTTTTGCACTCTATTCTTTCGGTTTTGTCTAGGTCTAGATGATGTTGATGGTGATAATCGCCAATACAAATATCCTTTTGTGTGTTATGTTTTTATATAATATGTGCTTCACATACTATATATACTCTTATGATGATTTTTTTTTTTGGTTAAAGAATCTCTTATAATGATGACCGTTGGACCGTGTTCATCTTTTAAATTCATTTTTACTTATTTCATTTTGAGTGCTACGCATTCCCACATTACAATATATCATCACTATTGAAATTTTATAATGGGTATAGTTCAATTTCGAGATTAACCGGTTTGATTGAAACATTGTGGCTCTTATTTATTATTTCTTTTATCCGGGTGGATAATTTTCAATACAAACCTTTGAATAAATAGATTCGACTCGGTGGTGCTTATTGTCAGCTGTACTTCGTTGAAACGTGGTACTGGGTTGAGTATCATTTTGCACAAGACTTGGTGTTGTTTGGTTCTATTCTGTCGCTGTGGTTCTCTTCTTCGCTGGTTCTTTCTGTGAGGGGTCTATTTGTGTTTCAAGAAGATGGATGTCATTGTTTGGTGGGCCTTGGGCAACAACTATGAATCCAATTTGTAGACTTTCTGAAGTTTTAAAATTGTGCAAGTTTTAGTGATAATATCAAGTTGATGTTTTAGTTAATTTTTTCTGTTTTAGTTGGGTTTGTTTCGGGGAAATTTTTTCCGTCGGCTTAATTTCGGGGATATTTCTTTGTTCCGCCGGCTTAGTTTCCGGGGATATCTCTTTGTTCCGTCGGCTTAGATTTTGGGGACATGTCTTTATTCAGTCGGTTTTATATTTCAACTTTGTATTTTACTTTGTATTTTACCTTGACGTTTAATATTAACAGATGACAAAAAAATAGATTCGACTCGGTCCGAGAATAATATAAAAACGTTGAAAAATATCGCAAGATTCTTCGAAAGCACGTGTTGTAGGAACGTAATGAATAGAAATCATGTTCACCTCTTGTAGAGTAAATCTGTGAATACTTTAAACATATAAAGACTCGATAAAATATTTTTAAAAGTACAAATGAAAAATTCACTGTATGAGTTGATAGCATTTCTTAACTTTGAATCAATTGTTGTTAATAGCTATCGGATTTACTCGACTAGGAAGTGAATATGAAGTTTTGAACTTCCAGCTTTGATGTAAACCTAGACAATAGTTCTAACACAGCTTCATTATCTCACAGAATTAGGCTTTCTATTGTGTTCATTTTGGCCTTGAACATGCCCGGTAATCATGAGTGAATGGCCATATTTCATAAGGTGATTTACCATAAGCTTTGTTTAAAAGAGTAGCCTGTACTACTCTACTTATAGCTCAAAGCTATGCAATCAAATCATTAAAAGCTTAGGACTAACGCTAGAATTTGGCACAATAATGAAGCTGTGTTAGAGCTATTGTCTAGGTTTACATCAAAACTTGGGGGTTCAAGATTTCATGTTCATCTCTTGGTCGAGTAAATCTAATTGCTATTAATAATGATTGATTCAAGGCTAAAAAATGCTACCAGCTCATATACAATGGATTTTCTACTTGTACTTTCAAAAATGTTTTATCGAGTCTTTATATGTTTAGAGTAATTTCTATTCATGTGGAGGATTGTTGGAACTCAATTTTAAGGCATGCTGCATCGGTTCATTTTCGGGCAACTCCCGACACATTCCCGAGGAAATTATCAGATTATGAGTGTATTCATATGTTAATATTAGAGTTTATTTGAATGAGAAATGCTTGTCTAATGTTTGTTGCTTGAAAGGCGCAAAATGGACTAGTATAAACTATGGAGAAGTCTTAACAAGGTTAAAATATCTTAGAACAATTGTAGAAAAGAGTGAATCTATTCTAAACAACATATGCGTGCACCAAAACGAGTTGAAAGTGGTTCGGGCTCGGATTTGGGTTTAAGCATGAATTCGGAGTATATGGACTTTGGTCTAATAACCTTTTTTTTGTATCAAATTATTATTTATGTAATTAATCATTACATAAATTTTAATATGGTCTAAAATAAATAATTCATTTAGTCAAATGAGAATAAAAACACTTGACCAAATCAAATATTTTTCTACTATGCTTTTTGTCTCGACAGACACATGAGCTAGCTAGATTACTCAAATGTATTTATATGACAAAGAAAACACGCTGCGTCCACGAAAGCCGGCACTATGTCTGAAACAATTACAATTATTATACAAATGTGACGTATTGTGTTATAAACTTATAATCGTGTATATCTCAACATCTTACATCTGTGAGGAGAAAGAGGTCTGTGACTGTGAAGAGAGAGAGAAAAAGAAAGAAAATTAGTGAGAGAGATTACTGATTAGATGTTCGGCGGTTTGGGTTTTAAATTCTTGAATCACAGTTTAGAACTTTAGATTATGCGATTATGTTTGGCAATTGCATGGCCAGAGTAAAACATGACACGTACATCATTCAGTGTGTTCCACGACGGAAGCTTAGGAATAGTGGGACCCACGGACAAATTGAAGATACGACCGCTCTTTTTTCTCCATTCCTTTGACCTGCTCATATGCTCATAGTGAATCAGAGAATTATACAGCTTTACAAAAAAAACATTACACACCAATACAGAAAAAAGAGCTTTTTGTATATATAATAATATTGAGAGTTGAAATAAAGAATATAGTCATAATGTATGGATAATTTATAAACTAACTATGGTCTACTATTGATTATCGAAAATATCTCTGTACTATACTATAATAGCTACTATACTATATTTCAATTTTATAGAATAGTATCGTTTGATATAGTATTTGCAAAAAATTAGAAGAGGAAAAGAAAGGAGGAGATGAACAAAGAAGGGAGAGAAGAAGACGGGAGAGAATAGGAGAGGAGGGAAAGAGAGAGGAATATAGGGGAAGAAGAGGGGAAGAGGAGAGAAAATGTGAGGCGATGAGAAGAGTGGAAGGGAAATGACACGAAAAATGAAGAATATTTTTGTATATATTATATAATATATAGAAAATATTATATCACTTATTTTGTTATAGTTAGATGATGAATTTAACTTACTAATATAGTCATAAGATTCAATTTTCCATAAAAAACAAAAATTTAACAGAACGGAAAACACAACAAAAATATGAAAAAGCATAAATACTAAATAGAGCAAAATTGTTCAGTAGTAGCTAAACCAACCAACTCCATTGTCCAATTTACTTTTTACTATATTGAGTTCTTCCTTTTTCTTTTCTCGTGTTTCTCGACTCTCGAGTTTCTACTTTCTAGTGCGAGAGTACGTAACAACACGGGACTCTCTCACCTTTATCTGTCTTACATCACAAAGTAAAAAAAACAAAACTCAATACATTTCCTCATTTTCTAGCGTTTTTCTTCCTTTTCTTTGGGTATATAAAAACATTCAGTTTTTTTCTGTTTGTTCTCTTCAAGAGTATCCTTTTCCGGGATTTCAGACAAAAACCCAGTTTTGGAAACTACGAATTTATTTTCTTTCACAAATTCCGGATTTTTCTTTTCCCACTGAGAAATAAATATAAATTGAATGAAGGGACACCAAAAAGACTCGTCGGAGAAACCCAATAAGGTTCGGAGCTCTTCGGGTGTATCTATGACCCGACCCGTTCAAAGACTCATAATCTGGCTCATCCTCTTTATTTCCGTCACTTACATCATCTACACTCTCAGAATCGTCTCCACTTCACGCCCTTGCGAAGAAAATCCAACGATTCTCCAACAAAGACCGCAGAAAAAAGCGGTTGCGGTTGAGGCGGTTGCGGTGGAGCACGAAGCGACCGATCTAAACAATGTGGTATTCGGGATTGCGGCGTCGTCGAAGCTGTGGAAAAAGAGGAAAGAGTATATCAAGATTTGGTATAAGCCGAAGATAATGAGAGGCTACGTGTGGTTAGATAAAGAGGTAAAGAAGATCGAATCCGACGACGGGGATCAAGAAAACCTCCCGCCGATGAGAATATCCGGTGATACGGCGTCGTTCCCTTACAAGAACAAGCAAGGACACAGATCAGCGATTCGGATATCGCGGATCGTGTCGGAAACGCTGATGAGCCTTGATTCCGATTCGAGGAAGAACGTGAGGTGGTTCGTTATGGGTGATGACGATACGGTGTTCGTCACGGACAATTTGATTAGGGTTTTGAGGAAGTACGACCACGAGCAGATGTATTACATTGGGAGCTTGTCGGAATCTCATTTGCAGAACATTTACTTCTCTTACGGAATGGCTTATGGTGGAGGAGGTTTCGCGATTAGTTATCCATTGGCCGTGGCTTTGAGCAAGATTCAAGATCAGTGTATTCGAAGGTATCCGGCGTTGTACGGTTCCGATGATCGTATGCAAGCTTGTATGGCGGAGCTTGGAGTTCCATTGACCAAGGAGCAAGGTTTTCATCAAGTAAGGATATTTTTGTTTCGTTTTGTTGATTTTGCGAAATAAGTATTGCTTAGATTGGTTTGATTCTAGCATTCAAAGTTGGTTTGGCTTAGAAAGATGAAAATACTAGTGAAATAGGCACAATTGATGATCTTGAGTTTTGATTGTAATTACTAATGAATTTTGTGTAATTACTGATTTTTAACTCGAATTAGGTGCGATTTTATGATTTTGTGGCATTGGTTTTGATGTTAGTTCAAAGTCAGGTTAGGACCAATGATTTTGTTATTACTCTTTCAATGAAATTTAAAGCTTTAGAGCTTGGAAGAAAATGATTTACAAGTCTCTTTAGAGGTAAGAGTTTAACAGATTAAAGTCTTGGTATTTAACTTTCTGCTCAAATCTAGATTTTTTTATGATTTCGAATTCGTTTCTTTAATTCAAATTTAGCAAGTTTTTTTTGTGGTTGTGTGAATTTTGTTGTATTCAAGTTTACAGGCTTTATTTGACATTCATTAGTTAATCTATGGAGATCCAAGTTTGTGTCTACTCACTAATTTGCTAGTTAAAATTATTTAAAACAGTCGACCAAAAGTTAAACCATTGGAAATGTCAAGTTAACAAGAAGCATCATTTTATAAAAAAAAAGGTTAAGCTTTGGTTGATTTTCATTAGTTTATTTAGAACGATTTAAAGATAAATTAAAGCAGAATAACTCCAACACGTGGCCAGTCTTTGTCCATAGTTAGGATTCCTAGATGTCGGAATAAGACCCGTTTGTCAGTTTCATCGTTAAAACTTCAAAAGTCATAAAGACTTGTACCTTGTTATTCTACGCGCATTGTGGCGCGTGAAAGCTACGCTCCCCAATTCACATAATTTGTTTTTCAATCTTTTTGTAACAATTTCATTAAATTTGTTAATTCAGGTTTTGTTGTCTTTTTTCGCAGTACGATGTTCATGGGAACCTTTTCGGCCTCTTAGCTGCACATCCGGTAACACCGTTCGTATCAATGCACCACCTCGACGTTGTGGAACCGATCTTCCCAAACATGACCCGCGTTCGAGCCATCAAGAAACTAACCACACCGATGAAACTCGACTCGGCCAGTCTTCTCCAGCAGTCAATATGCTACGACAAGTACAAAAGCTGGACAATATCTGTCTCGTGGGGATACGCGGTCCAGGTGTTCCGTGGATCGTTCTCTCCCCGGGAAATGGAAATGCCTTCTCGAACTTTCTTGAATTGGTACAAAAGAGCTGATTACACCGCCTACGCATTCAATACAAGGCCAGTGAGTCGCAATTCATGCCAAAAACCGTTTGTTTTTCACATGTCGAATGCCAAATTCGACCCGCGATTGAACACGACGGTTAGTGAATACACGAGGCTTCGGGTTTCTCATCCTGCTTGCAGGTGGGATATGGCTAACCCGGAGGAGATCAACACTATAGTCGTCTACAAAAAACCAGACCCTCACTTATGGGACAGGGTATGTAAATTAATTATGTTATCTTACATACTAATTATATATATATATGTGAATAGTTGTGGACAAAAAAAAATATATATATATATATATATAGAATAGATATGTTAATGCGTAGTGTTCTAATGGGGTTATTGTGTTTTTCTGCAGTCACCGAGAAGGAACTGTTGCAGAGTATTACAAACAAAGAGGAATAACACATTGTGGATCAATGTTGGGGTATGTAGAGCAGGTGAAGTTACTGAAGTTAGTCATTTATAATTTTGTTTTTCTTTTTGGGAATATCTATTGTAAACAATATAATGTAATTTATAATGAGACGATTTTGCTGACCATCGATATCGATTTTATTTTGTATCCGGTGCTAATTGGAATTTAATAATAATCTGCTGGAAAACAGCCCTAATGTTCTAAGATCGAATCTAAAAAGGATAAGCTCAAATGTTATGTTGAAACTCTAAAAATAGCACAAGTTATAATTTATGTTGTACTTTATGTTGAAGTTTTTCAGTTGTATATGTATAAATGATATATATATTTGAAGAAATGATGAACTTGTTGATGATAAATTGGATGTTCTGCCAAATCATATGGTGCAAATGGATGCGCTTCTAGAGGAATAAAATATGGTGGAATTGGGCATTCTTATGGAATGTTACCATTTACAAAAAAATGTTAGTGGAAAACAATTCCACCTATTCCACCAAAAATAATTGAATTTGTTAAGAAAATTTTAAAAGTTTGTTCCTCTACTATTTTGAAAAGGAATGAGTAGAATAAATTTATTCCTCTATCATTTCTATTCTGCTAATTTTTATTCCACTAATCTCTATTCTACTAATTCTTTTAATGATAATTTGCATCCTAAGTAGTATGATGTTATTTATTTTTTTTGTCATCAGCCTCTCATCCTAGAACGGTTCAGAGATCCAAACCAGTGGATTTGAGTTTACATAATTTATGTTGTGAAGGTAGTTGCGAGCACTCTGTACTAGCTTGTCTGCCCTCTTGTTTGCGGCGCGTAGAATATGCTTTACGAAGAATGATGTAAATTCTTTCCTGCTTCTCTCATATTCCTCCAAGTGTAGTTCGAAAGCCGGCCAGTCTTCTGGTTTGGACACCATCTTCACCAGTTCAAGGCAATCTGTAGCAAATGTCACCTCTAATCTTTGTGCGTCGAGCATACAATGCATAGCCTATATCATTGCCTCTAGTTCCGTGTGTAATGGCGAAATACTCCGTCTAACATTTTTGGCCCCCATGAGTGTTTTAGCCATCCCTTGTCCTTGACAGAACCAACTGAGTCCCGCATTTGGGGATGTCTACTTCCAAGATCCGTCTGTTTCGCATATGAGGCCCAAGTTCACCGTGGTATCCACTTGTGGGGAATCCTGACATACCGGTTGATTTTCCTCAGATTGTGCCAGCGTCCAAGCCTCACCTTCTGTCATAGGAAGCTTTAAAACTTCCATCGGATCTCGGTCAATATTTGAGAATATTTTGTCATTTCTGGCCTTCCAGATATACCAGAGTAACCATGGGAATACTTCCATACCGCTTATATTTGGTAATTGCCAAAATAAATATGCCATATTTGTATATATGATTGCCGTAGGGAAACCTGTTTGTGGTGTAGGGATCATTGAAAAGGCCCACACTTGAGAGGCTGGTGGACATTCGAATAAGGTATGATTAACAGTTTCTCGTTCTGCACCGCATCTTTGGCATTGAGGGTCGCAGTTAATTTTCCTACTTCGAAGCCGGTCCATTACCGAAATACACCCCGAAATAATCTACCAGAGAAAATGCTTTATCTTTGGCGGGCATTTGACATTCCAGGCATGGCTCTGCAAATGACTTATATCTGGTCCAATAAGTTTTTGTTCAACATTTCATGTGGGGTACTCCCGTTCTGTCTCATATCTTGACTTAACCGTATATCTTCCGGATTTCGTGAAGTGTCAATTTAATGAATCTGGTTTATCCGCTATTGGAATTGGAAGTCGAAGAATTAATGTGATATCCGCTGGATCAATTAGTTGCTCAATAAAAGGTAGATTCCAGGTTTTTGTTGATGAAACTATCAGGTATATAATTATGTTATAGTTTGAATATTATACATTGTATATTTATATATAATTATGTGACTTTTTAAATTTACCATCTTAATAAAAAGATTAAGCATAGTTATAGAAATTATTAATTGATGAATTTAAAACTAAATGATGTTATTTTAGAGTATTAGAAAATAAAGTTTATAATGAATTTAGGATGGTTTTTTTTCCTTCTAAATTTGTCGTAAGCAACAAGGATTATAAGGAGTTTACATTTATTTTTGTCTTGTAATGGTTGCTGGATTTAATAAAATAAGAACATCTTCTTCTAACGATACTTGTTTTTCTTTGTCAAGCTGTAGTTGAGATAAATTGCGAGGCAAAAAGTTTGTCAATAGCATTTATGAGTATATTGCAATAGTCTCAACTAATCTAATAGAAGATGGGATATATAGTCTTTCACAAAAAAAAAGATGGGATATAGTTATAAATTATTTCCATGAATATTCTAGGGTTAAGTGTTTATGTGAAACCTAAAACATATCTTTATGTGGATCACTTCTTGATGGAATTAAGTAATAAAATTCGAGACTTTGCTTTGAAAATTTGCCTCGAAATTTTTTCCTCTTTTCTAAATACCATTTTGTCCTTACATTGTACTAGACTCTATAATCTAATCAGGTTCGAGCAGAGACTCACACTACATTTCAATTTTTTATTGTTGAAAATGCTTCTCTTTTTCTTTCTTTCAGATATTGTTCGTACCTCTACAAACAGTAAACACCGATAATTTTTGTAAAATTTTTGCAGTTCTAACACAAATGATTTTTCTTCTTATACTATGAGAAAAGTAGCACAAGCTAGTCAATATACTAACTAGTAAGAGCAATGCTTAGTTTTTTTGGAAAAGTGCAAATATTTTAGGCCACAATATATATTATAATTTTCCAGATCACATTTAAAAAAGAATTATTTAAGTGTAGTTAATAATAATTAGTTTTTCTAAGATTCAAGTCTATTTTTTTTTTTTTTTTTTGTCAACAGCCTCTTCTCTCATAACGGTTCAGGGATCCAAACCGGTGGAGTCGAGTTTACATAGTGTAATGAGTAAAAGTAGTCGGGAGCACTCCGTGCAAGCTTGTCTGCCTTTGTGTTTTGAGCGCGTGGGATGTACGAGATTGAGAAAGAGGTGAACTCGTTCTTGCTGTTCTCAAATTCCTCCAAGTGTAAAGCGAAGGCCGGCCATTCTTCGGGTTTAGACACTATCTTCACCAGTTCGGAACAGTCTGTAGCGAAAGCCATCACTAGCCTTCCAACGTCGAGCATGCTGTGCATCGCCCAAATTAAGGCTTCTAGCTCTGTGTGTAGTGGGGAAAGGCTTCGCCGTACCTTCTTTGCCCCCATCAACGTTGTTTCGGTTGTTAAACCTTGATAATACCATCCTAACCCGGCACTAGCCTTTGTCGCCTTCCATGATCCATCCATTTGACATGTTAATCCATCATTCACCATCGGCACCGTTCCTGTAGTGCCTATATAGGCATCCTGAATACTTATGTCTTCACCGGGATCATTTTCCTGTTGAGCTAAAAACCAAGCTGCCGATTCTGCTTGAGCTGTTTTTAGAACTTCCCTAGGATCTCTGTCAATGTTGGAATATATTTTATTATTCCTTGCTTTCCAAATATACCAAAGTAACCATGAGAATACATCCATATCCTCTGAATTGGGTAACTGCCAAAAAAGGTGAGCAATATTTGTATATAACGCTGTTGTTGGGAATTCCATTGCTGGTGTCGGTATTACCGAAAGTGCCCAAACCTGGAAAGCCGGTGGACATTCAAAAATGGTATGATTAATGGTTTCCCTTTCTACCCCACATCTACCACATTGTGGATCACAATTTATTCCTCGGTTGTTTAACCTGTCAAAGACCGATATGCAGCCTGAAAGGAGTTGCCAGAGGAAGTGTTTCATCTTAAGGGGGCATTTAACATTCCATGCATGGCCTTGTAATTTAGTTATGTCTGGTCCATAGAATCTCTGCAGTGGGCTATTATTTTGTATCTCCTGTTGAAGATTATACCCCGACTTCACCGAATATTTCCCTTTTTTGTATAGTACCATATTTGTGAATCTGGTCTATTTGCCGTTGTTGTTGGAATTCCCATAATTTATGGAATATCCTCTGGGATAATGAGCTGTTTAATCAACGGGATGTTCCATGTTTTAGTGGAAGAAAGTAACAAATCTTTTACTTTAAGATCAGGGTATAAATTGTACCCCTGACATGTTGCTGGTCTCGGGCAAGTAGCCGGGAGCCACGGGTCATTCCATACAGAGATGGAGTTTCCGGTTCTGACTCTTTTAATAAGTCATTTTTTAACCAGAGATCGAGCTGAGATAATGCTCTGCCAACCATAAGAGGCAGAATAAGAGCGTATAGGATCTAAAGGTCCTCCATTTCGATAATACCGTCCTTTGAACACTTTGGCAAACAGCGACTCAGGATGATCAATAAGTCTCCAGAGCTGTTTGGCCAATAAAGCCGTGTTAAAATCCTCGATTATCCTAAAGCCCAGTCCTCCATCCATTTTTATGTTTGCATAATTTTTTCCATGCCAACCAATGCATACCCTTAGTTTGTCCATTCGTGCATCACCAGAAATGGGCTACCATGCTTGTCAGTTTTTTCGTGATCGTTTTTGGTAGACGAAAACATAACATAGCATATGTCGGTGCTGCTGTAGCAACTGATTTGATTATAATCTCTTTTCCTGCCTTTGAGAGTAATCTTGAAGTCCACCCATTTATCCGTCTTTGTTGTCGATCAACTATATAGCCGAAATTTTTTGTCTTAGCACCATCCAAGCTCTCCGGTATCCCTAAATAGTTGCCCATCCCCCTAATATTCGTAATCCCCAAAGTATGTTGGACCATCTCCTTATTTATTGGGTTAACTGTGTGGCCAAACTGGACCGAAGATTTGGTAAAATTAATCTGCTGTCCTGATACTGCCTCATATTGTTTGAGAACACTGAGGAGTACCTCTGTCTCTTCCTTAGTAGCCTTACAGAAAAATAAGCTATCATCCGCAAAAAATAGTTGTGTAATTGGTGGACATGCACGTGCTACCTTCATGCCTGTAAGAAGTTTCATCTGTTCTACTTTCCTCAGATTCGCTATTAAAACCTCTGTACAGAGAATAAACAAGTAAGGTGATAAGGGGTCTCCCTGTCTTAAACCTCGTTTGGGTACAATATGTCCCCTAGCATGGCCATTAATCAATACCCTGTATTGCACCGATTGTATACTCCACATTATCCATGTAATCTATTTTTCCGAGAAACCCATTTTTCG